ACCTAGACATATATTTCTTGATCTGCTATGTATAATTTGTCAGTAGGTTATAGGAGTAATATGGTTCCCTCTGGTTTTCAAAACTACCTAGGCATTGTTTATCTCTGGCATTGTCTCACCCCTCCATCATGATTTTCCCACTTAAGGTGCCCCCGTTTCTCCCTTTCTCCCTTAATAATACCCTTCTCAAATGTCCTACCTCTCTTGAGCTCCTTCTTTCCCTTTATCCCCTAGGTTCCTTGTATATCCATCCCTCCCCCCTCAAACTAACCCAATTTTTTTCCATATCTCTCTTATTAAGGCCTGTTTCCTACTGTTTTTCTCTTTATGTATAGCTAAAGGCTACATAACAAGCAACAATGCCAGACAGGCGATACCTTCTTTTGAGTTGTTGGCCAGGGTGGCCAAAGGGATTCCCAGATAGTAACCCAGCATAGAACTGGGAAAATGAACAGCAGACCCCAATCTTATCCAAAGGAATATTGACAACTGATTACCACTAGATGAGGAACAGCTGACCCTCCTAAAACAAAGACCTGTAGATATGCTGACTAGATTCACCAGAAGGGCAAGTAGTGGGAAATGGCTAGGGGTGCCGACAACACATCAGACAGTAGCAGGGATATCAGAGTATAAGGGCTCTAGTGGGGGGAGGGAGGCTATGGGAGGGTGCTATCTGGGAAGTGGGTGTATAAATAAGTAAATTAATTAAATAAATAAAAAAATATAATAAATAAAATATTAGAAAAAAAGAGTATTTTAACATAGTTGCTTGGGTATACCTCCAGTCTTAGGTTTTAAAATATCCCCTTTGAACTGGAGAGGGCTCAGTGGTTAAGAGCACTTGTTGTGCTACCATGAGGACCGAAATTCAGATCCCAGCATCTATATAACAATCTGTCTCTCCAGCTCCGAGGGATCTAGCACCTTCTTCTGGTCTACAGGTGTGCACTCACAACAGGCACATTTACTGACACACACACATAAACAAAGTAAGTCTTTAAAAAAGCATAAATATTCCTCCCCCTCACCCCCCCTCTCCTTCCCTCCCTCCCTCCTTCCCTCCCTCCTTCCCAATTCTACTTCTGGCATTTGTGTCAGCAACCCAGAAATAATTTTCAATGAATCATAGGATGAGCAGAAATATAAATATATTGGTAATGAGGCTGGATTCCTCTGTATTAGAAAGGGTCATTAAGGTCTGAAGGGGGGGAGGTAAGTAAGAATGAGTCTAACTGTTGAATTTGAGTTGTAGGAGTCAGTGTATGTTAAGAGAACAGTAAGTATGTTAAGAGAACCAGATGGAGATGTATGTGCATTATTGTATCTTCTCTGCCTGCTGCAGTGACCTAACAACAAAGGCAGTCCATTTGAGTGCACATACCTAGGGTTCAGGTCTTGGTTTAGATATCATATCCCAGTAAAAGGAACAACTTCAATAACTGATTTGTTTAATAACTCACAGCACTGGAAAGACAACACTGAGCCTGAAATGTCCGATACAGGAAAACAAGGAAGTGCTTAACCAGTGATAGACACATGGAAGGAGCATGGAAGCCAGCTAGAACAGCCTCCTCTTTGGCAAGACTGAGGCACTTTGGGCTTAAAACTAAAAAGTAATATTCGTGGAATTCAGAGGTTGAGGCAGGAGAAGCAGTATCACAGCCAGTCTGGGCTCCATCAGACCTTCTCTCAAACAACAGAAAGAATTTGTAAGATAACACCAGAATCCACAAGTTCCTACTGATAGAAGTATATTGAATGAGTTGGTGCATATTAAATAGAACAGAGTGGAATGTCCTTCCTAATGATACAATGCAGCTAACAGAAGTAGCCGGAATGACAGTCATTGGACAGTCATCCTGGAGATGATCAGTGCAGCCAGGCTTTACCAGTGGATGCAGAGCAATGATGGAAGCTTGATGGGGGCTAGCATGTACTGTTCTCAAAAGAAGCTGCCATGAACTACGAAAAGAAAAGTAGTCACAGCAGAGGGGCTTAAGCTGCTAACCCATTCTTAACTAGGTAATAAAAGTACACACCATCAATAATTAGACACACCAGCATGATATACCCCCTGATTCTTACAAATGAACAGCCTACCTGGGCATGGTGGCACACACCTTTAATCCCAGTACTTGGGAGGCAGAGATGGTGGATCTCTATGAGATCTAGGCTACAGAGAGACCTGGTCTCAAAAAACCCTCCACCAACAAAAACCAACACCCAGAGCTAGTGGTGTAATGTAGTGGTAGAGTGCTAGATCTAGCATATATGAGGTCCTGAATTTGTGCCCCAAAACAACAAAAAGAAAAAAAAGTGGACCTGGCCTCATTTCTTTGTTGATTCCTAACACACCTCTTATAGTAAAACATCAGATAAACCTGGTGAACAATATTCTACAGAGTAACTGGCCTATACCCTTTAGAAGTGTTCAAAGTTATGAAAGACAGAATGGCTGAGGAGCTGTTCTGGACTTGAGTGTGACAAGACATAACAAATAAAGGCAATTTGTCTTTCTGAAGTACATCTTGAACTTGGGAATAAAATGCCACATAAAGGATATTATTAGGGCAGCTAAATTAGAAGATGGACTTGGATCTGTTAATAGTGTATTTAATTTTCTGAGGTTTGTCATTGTTTTTAGGAAACACTAAAACAAATGGAGCACCCTCGGGCCACCTATTTTCATATGATAAAAGGGAAGATGTGTAAACAGGGAGAAAATGGATAAAGCAAATGGGGCTGAGAGTCAACAGCTGGTAAATCTGGGTAGAGTCTGAGAATTCGGTATATTTTTCTGGCAACTTTTGTAAATGTGAAAACACACGTTATATAAAAATAAGTTGTAAAAATTAGGATGATCAGGTATGGGCTGTGGCTCACTAATGGAATGCTTTCAAGCACTAGGCCTTGGGGTCAGTCTCTGGCACTGCCCAAAAGGAAAACAAAAGTCATCAAAGATACATTTAAAAGCTAAAACTTTTGAGAAAAACCCAAGCATAAATGTTCATGACAATGGATAGATAAAGCCTTGCAGATAACACCTAAGAGTAGGCAACAAAAGAAAGTTCAGCTAAATTAGACCATCATGTTTTTAAAACATTTATGCTCTGATGGTGCCATGAAAAAAATGAAAGGATAACTCACAGAAGAGAGAAAATACTTATAAATCAGATACTTGATAAAACTTATCCAGACTATATAAATAGCTCCTACAACCAATAGCAAAAGTAACCTTAATTTCTAAAAAGTTGACAAAGAACCAGAAGTTTATAATTGGGTCATTTGGAGGGTGTTCACCATCATCACCCAGTGGGAGAATGAGGATCGCAGGGAGATAACACTTTATACACTGGGACAGATACAATTACAAAGGTCTATAACAAATATTGACAAGAATATAGAGATTACAGCCCTGTACGTTAGTGACAGGAATTCAGAAGAGACACCACTTTGAAAAAAATAATTTAGCAGTTGCTCAAATTGTTAAATGTGAAGTTACAATATGATCCAGCAATTTATGAGTATATACCCAATATCAATGAATACATGCACACTAGAACACGTGCGAACATTCATAGTACCACTGTCCATCACTCAGTGAAGACATAATTAAGATTGCTATGTCCACCCAGTGAAGTGGACTGAGGAATTGGTGCCTACTGCATTGTAGGCAAGTCCTGAAAAACATTCTAAGTGAAAGAAGCTAGAAGGGTTCCAGTTGTATAAATCTCCAAACAAGTCAGAATTAACTAGTGTGGAGACAGAATTACTCTGACTTGGCAGGAGGGGAAACGAATGGTTATGGAATGCTGTTGAGGATTGTTGAAATGTTTTCAAATTGATTTTACTAATATACAACTTTCCTATTATGATTGATGGTAGTTATTTGTCATGAAATACAGTTAGGTGTTTGTCCAAATACTTTTATTACTGATTACCTAGTGTATACTTTATAATCTTTAAGAACTGGGGTATCCTTGTAATAGGAGTGTATTAGTTATAGGTTGAACTATAATCTTTTCTTCCGTGAGCACAGTGCTTATTGAAATAGACTAGGTAGAATGAGTAAAAGTGATTCTTTGTCTACCATATTCAGCTATGGGGTTGTGTACAACATATTAGTTAGCTAGTTTTACCAGCGCTGTGACAAGGGGACCTAAGGAAGGTGGGCTTTATTTTGGCTCACAGTTTAAGGATGCAGTCTGTCATGGAAATGCATGCAGTCATGAGGTAAGATTGGCTCTGCTTTGGCCTCAGGAGTGTGAAGCAGTTGGCCACATTGAGTCCATCTGCACAGAGATGGTGCTCAGGTCACTTTCTTCTTTTCCTCTTGATCAGTGTAGGACCTCAGCCAATGGGATGGGGCCACCCACATTCAGGAAGGGTCATAACTCTTCCTCCATTAAATCTCTTTAGCACTGCCATCAAAGACATGCCCAGAGGTGTGTCTCCAAGGTGATCCTAAATCCAGTCAAGTTGAAAATTGAAATTAACCATCAAATGGAGTGAGCCATTCTAATGCTATGGTGATTCACTTCCGCTTGTAGTTTCAGGTGTTACTGAGTGCCTGATAGAAAAGTATGTGTACTCTAAGAGTTCAGATGCTTTCTTATTTTGTATTTGATTCACTTAGATGCAAATTGCTTCTTTAGATAAGGATTAATATCTGTTCTCAGAGCCAAAGTTAGAACCAGCTGGAACTAGCAATACTCTAGTAATTTTGGTGATTTTGGTCAAGAACAGTAACTTCATGTGGAGGACAAAGCCCACTGCAGCAGCAGAGCTGTGTGTGAAGTCCATTGAGTCACAACAGGACCAGCTCAAACCAGCCAGGCAGCTCTTTTGTCGTTGTTCTTTCCTTTTGAGTGGTGGTATGGTATTTATATTTCCTTCACTTTTGTCTTTTCTTAGTTTTTATGTTTTTATTATTTATGCATATGAATGTTTTGCTGCCTGTACGTAACTGCAATATATGCATGCAGTGCCCGCAGAAGAGGGTGTCAGATCCCTGGGAACTGGAGTTACAGGCAGTTGTTAGCCACCAGGTGGGCACTGAACTGAACCTCAACTGCCAGTTCATCTCTCCAGTCCCTAGTTTTTCTTATTAATATATTTAACTTTTGGTGAGTATTAGGTCAGTTACTACTCTCCTGTTACGGAATCTGTCTCCCATATCTGTTTAAATGTGTACAAATCCATATTCAGTTCTTTCTGGACCTAGCTGAAAAAAATAAAACTTACTAATTCCTGTTTTTTAGTATGCTCTGTGATTTAGTCAATACTGTTTGAAATCAAATGTACTGAGAAGTGCTAACTTTGGTTTTCTCATTTAGGATGTTGCCAGAGTCTGGCCTGGAACTAAAATGCCTGGACAAATGGGGAACCAAAGTAGGACAGTGTATGGACTGAAAGTAAGTCTGTAAAGTGCTTTTTGTTTTGTAGGGATAAGCAAATAGTGCAGAGCCTCGGAATATGTATTTAGCATGTTTGCGTACTGTTCTGGTGGCTGTCCAGCTGTTGAGAGGTGGAGGCAGTGTGAAGTGAGGTAGAGTTGTAGGTTGTGATAGAGTTGCATGTGATGTGTAGTCCTTAGAGAGGAATGAAATGAGCGGTGCTGTGACAGGTCCTGTGTAAATGTACTCAACATCCAGGCCATGGACTGCACAGCCACCAAAACAACAACAAAAAAAACAGTGACCTGCTATTTGCACTGGAACATTTCCATAAAATACTGCATGGGAAAAAGTAAGATTCAAAGCATTGGTGTAAAACTCTTTCATAGAAGAGAAATGAACGAAAGATGCCCATACAGATAGGTTACTGTACGTTATATATTAGAGAAGTTGAAGGTTCTATATTGACTTGTTTTGGATTATATGTCAAATGTGGGGGTGAAGTAGATGATGGGAAAGAGAGGAGAGACGATCACAGTGGAGAGGAAAAGGGTGCACTTAGAATTGTGCTATGTACACATTTTTTTATAAAATAGTGTGTGTTAAAGAGAAGTTAAAAATCTCTGCTAATTTGAGAAATGGATATGATAGCTAAATGAAAATGATTTGAACTGTAATGGGCACTGTATGGTTATATTTTTGTTAAAACAACTATTTACGTGTTTGTGTATATGTGACTCATAGTATAGAAAAGACAAACCACCCCTGCAGATAGCATCCAGTCTAGTTACGTTGTGCTGCCTATTCTTCCTTTCTCTTCTGGACATGTATTTTCTGTATGGATTTTGACCAACAGAAGTTTTCAACTTTTGTATAACAGGGTTCTCCATAGAGACAGAACTGGATGGATGGATGGATGGTTGGTTGGATGGATGGATGGATGGATGGATGGATGGATGGATGGATGGATGGATGGATGGATGGATGGATGGATGGATGGATGGATGGATGGATGGATGGATGGATGGATGGATGGATGGAGTTGGCAATCTGATAGATAAATGAAAGGATATTTTGTAGTATTCCCTTCATGATTATTATACAGACTGAAAAATCCCACAGTAAACTGTCTTCAACCTGGAATTCCTGGGATGCCTGTAGCCCTGATTCAGCCCATAAGCCTCAGGACCAGGAAGCCCAGAGTACAATTCTTAGTCTGAGGCAAAAGTCCTGAGAACGAGGCCGAGGGATGGAGGGGGTGCCCGAATTCAAAGGCCAGAGAGCCTGGAACTCTGATGTCTAAATCCTAAAGGCAGGATTTCCAGGAGAGAAAGGAAATACTTTTCTCAGCTTCTTCGGTTTATTCTGGGCCTCAGCCAGTTGAATGGTACGCACCCAGTGATGGAGGATCCACACTCTGCACTACCCTCCCAGATACCAGAAGTAATGCTTACCAGTTCTCGTAGCCCTCAGTCCAGTCAACACCTAAAATTAGTTATCAAATAACAAAATTATACTTAGCAGAGTCCTTCTATTTCTGACAGTTTTCTGTAGGCTGTTATTAAATAGTAGTGTAGGCAGCCCTGATTTCCTCTCCGACTGTTTTATCTTCTCAGTATCATTTCTTCACCATTCTCGTGTGTATCTGTGCATGTTTTCTCTCTTTGTGGAGATGTTTTTAAAGGCTTATCTACTCAGCCTGCTTATTTTAAAAATAAAATCCAGTGATTTGTGGATTTATGATTTATGGCTTCCCAGTTTCTAGTTGTAGCAAGGTAAGAGTAACCAAAACAAACTAGAATTCCCACTTGGTATTCATAATAATGCCAGCAGAGTCCATTGAGGTTTTCAAAAGTCGTGATCACTCACATTTCTAAAGTGAGGCGTGCTGGTTATGATCTTACATTATGGGTCACCAAATAGGATGGGAAGCTTTTCAGCCTCAATTTGACATTTTGAAGTGCTAATACGCTCTTTAGAGGGGGCTTTTCTCAGCCTTTAGTAACGTTTGCTTTAGTACAACTATCTTCTCAAGTCTTCAGCTCTACCAGTCTATTTCATTTCATATTTTAGGTATGGAGAGTGAACACAAAGCACAACATAATCTATGTGAATGGCTCTGTACCCGGCCATAAAAACTGCTTAGTAAAGGTATGTATTACTAACTGCCTATTTTGTTTTACTCATTAATGTGGATACATTCCATAAGTTGTCTTTTGACCAAACGTGTAGGTCCTAAAAGTGGGTGCTTCTACATGTTCTCTGCCTCATTTTTCTAAGTAGCTCCTTAGTGAGGGAAAAGTGTGCTGTAAAAATTCAGACTGCAGATCCATAAAGCTAAGCTTGTGGTGGGTAGGGCCAGTAGATAGAAAAGGCTTCGGGAATAGGAAAAGGATGTGAGGGAAACTAGTGCTCTGTCTTTCCAACCTTACAGCAGGTTTGCTCTTGGCAAAAGTACAAGAAGTTAGTGAGGTGGGAAGCAGTCCGCAGAAGTTAACTGGAGGTAGGTGATTCAAGGTATGGCACCGTGAGATTGCACCTGTTCCTCTAAGCGAAGATTACACCTGTTGCCTTAAACACAGGCTTGTAATGTCAAATAAACTGAAAAGGAAATGAGAGAAGGGAAAAAAAAAATAGATTAAAGAAAACTCTAGAACTTCCAGAGACTTCTTTCTATCAAAACACAAGATAGAGACTGTACTTGGGATTTAGCCCCTGTGGTGGATGCTCACTGTTGAGTTGGTCCTCTGTCCCTAAGCGGATCTGCAGTGGAGCCACACCAGCTGTTCGGGTACATCCTTCATGGGCTTTCCAACAAGGACAACATTTAAATCTTGGTGTTTTGTTGTTGTTTGTTTTTAATCTCGGGGTTTTAAATGGGGTGTTGCATTGTACATTCTCATGTCTTAAAGTAGGTTCTGTTAGTGACATAAGGAGCTACATTTTTTTTAAATTGGACAATTGTTTTTACTTGTTAAACTTTCTTTTGTTAAATACTTCACTTTTCACTTCTTGAGTAGGTTTTTCTTTTTCTCTTTTTTTTGTTTTTGTTTTTGTTTTTGTTTTTGTTTTTGGAGACAGGGTCTCCCTTAAGTCCCAGCTGACCTGAACTCACTATGTAGACCAGGCTGGCCTTGAGCTCACAGGGACCCACCAACCTCTACCTCCCAAGTGCTGGGACTAAAGGCATGCGCCACCACGCCCGGTGATTATTCTTATTTTTTATAGAGAAAAAGATGTTTGATAAATTTTTGCCGGTTCTTTTTTATTTTCAGACAGGGTTTTCCTGTAACCCCAGCTGGCTTGGCACTGGCTACATAAATCAGACTGCCGTCTACCTCAGAGATTTGCCTGCCTCTGCCTCCCGAGTGCTGGGACTAAAAGTGTGCCCAGCATGCCTGGTTTCTGTGACATTTTGGCTTCATAATTCAGTGCACTTCCACATTCCAGGAGCATTAGAGGTCACAAATGTCACAGCTTCATGCAAGAGAAAAGACTGCTTTTCCATAGTAAACTGTGCTGAATCATAGCAGGTAGATTTTTTTTAAAATAGATTATTGAGAATTTCACACATGCATATAAAGTGTTTTGATCAAATCCATGCGCACCCCCTCCCCTCTAACTCCTCCCATATCTCCCCATCACTTTTTTCTGATAACTTCATGTACTCTTTCTTCTTCTTTTATTTATTTTTATGGGGCTTTTGGCTATTCTAACATTCCCCCCTCTGAAGAGGTAACCTTAAAATCTTTTAAGAATTAGATACAAGCTCCCACATACTTTCAACATTTTTGGCCTTTGGAACAGGAATATGTTGCTAAGAAGCACAGGGACATTTTGACTTTTAGCCAAGAAACTGGCTACTTTTCTTTGGGGCCTTTTTACCCTAACTACCTAGCCGGTTCCTACCTCCTATTCTTTTTTTTTCTTTTCTTTTCTAAAAGATTTATTATTATTATTATTTTTAGAAGAATCATTTCATTCCAACAACATTGACATATTCAGTAACAATTTTCTGAGCTAAGATGCATCTTTTTCAAACTTGGCTATAATTTTTAGGTTTACAGTTGAATTGTTAGAGTTATACAATATCATACTCAGTATAAACCCTATAAGACATAAAATTAAATGAAGTTTTAACCTTTAAAAAAGATCTCCATTTCATCATTAAAAGACAGTTTCATACAGAAAAAAATCATTT